ACATGCATGAAGAACAAGCAGACAGGCTTCTTGCTAGGGCCGTAACACTAACCACTACTACACCAATAAACCACGCCACCTGTGAGGAATTACAAAGCTACTTGATCCTCTGAGGGGTGTCTGGAAGACACATCAGACACATCCTGAAACATCAGTCTAGTTTACCTTGAAGTTGCTGGAGTTGACCCAGGAGCTGGCGATGCCATCGACCATCTTGTCCAGCGCTGTCTGGTCCTGCTCCAAGTCATGGGACTTTTCCTTGTCCAGAATGTAATCAATGATCTCCTGGCCAACCTGCAGCCTTCGGCCCATGTCCTTCTGCAGGACCAGGGCCAGACAGTTTTCCATGCTAGGCTCCATCATTCTGCTGTCTGGTAAACACGCCCTCTGGCTTCCTCAGTCTGCCCGGCTGTTTGATTGACTGATCGCTAGCAATCCTCCACTGCTCAGAGCAGTGGGAGTGACAGCTGGACAAAAGGAGTTCCACTTGGTGGGTATGACCTGAAAAGTGAGGACAAAAGGAGGAGGCCACAGTACAGTCTGCTTGTGTTTGGTCCCTCGGGACAGGCCGCCTTTCTGTGCCAAGTGCTAGCCTGCTAGCAAGCTAATGGCTGTGCCCCCGGGATAGATGGAGTAGGGCTTGGGGAATGGCAGCAATGCAGCATGTGTGTGTCTGCACAGCAGCTGGGGGAAGTTTACTCCTCCCTCTTCTTCTCTTAGAGGAGTCGGAGCCAAACCACAGCAGCAGGCTGGAAAAGGCGCTTCTGGCAGCAGATGGAGATGGATGGAGAGTGCTAGCTTAGAGCTCCATGACCTGTCCCCAAAACTGAACGGGGCTGCCCTGCAAGAGCAAGGAAACACAGAACGAAGGAAGGTTATTTCAGGCCATTATTGATCACATATTTATTTACATATTTGTCCAACAACAAAAAAAGAAACATCTCCCACTGCAAAAAAACAAAACACTGTAAGCACACAATGTTTAGCTTTTCCAAAATAAGACCAGATTATTAAGATAATGACCTTCCCCTTGTAGCTTGCTGCCTCTAACAGCCAGTGGATGGATTCCCACGTGAAGGATCATATCTTGGGGCTTAGCTGGTTTCAAAGTAACAGTTCCGGCTTCATGCAGCCAGCAGTATTTCTCTGCCATGAATATACTCCTAACTTGGCTTTACAGGGACATTTATTTTGTTGTCACCCTCCATTTTATGCTATGCCTCAAAGGCCGGGTGGTAACAACCAAATACTTCCCAGTGAATGCCAAACAGTATTTTTACTTCAAATGTAAGTAAGTAAGTAAGTAAAATTTATTTATATAGCACTTTTTAAGACAAAAACGCTGTTACAAAGTGCTTCACAAGAAGACATGTCAAACAAACAATATAGCAACATAAAGGAAGTATAAAAGCATATCAAACAAGCAATAGTACAATATAAATGTAAAATAAAACAACATATTACGCATTAACATTACCCAAATGCCTGTCTAAACAGATGAGTTTTAAGCTGTTTTTTAAAAGAGGCCACCGTGTCGATGGTGCGTAGTGAGGAGGGTAAACCGTTCCACAGTATTGGAGCCAGGGTTTGAAAAGCGTGATCCCCCTTTGTTTTCAGACGAGTCCGTGGAATAGATAGACGACCGCTATCAGTGGATCTAAGAGTCCGCTTTGGAGAAGAGGGCTGGAGAAGCTCCGAGATATAGATGGGGGCCTCACCTTGTAGAGACATAAACGTAAAGGTGAGGATTTTAAACTTATATCTATACTCAACCGGAAGCCAATGCAGGGATTTTAGTATAGGAGTGATATGGGAAAATTTATTGCTGTGGGTTAAAAGCCTTGCTGCAGCATTTTGAACCGCTTGGAGCCGATTTAGTGAGGCCTTAGATACGCAGGAGAAAAGTGCATTACATCCTCTGTAGTGTTTTTAATCCTCCATACACGCGTGGAGGTAAAAAAATAAAGCAATAATGCTTTTAACATATTTATTCATAAATTGAGATATATATATATATATATATATATATTTTGAATCAGTCACCTGCGTGTACCTTACACTAATCTGCTCTCAACCACACATCTGCCCCCATCATTAAAACACAAACACAGGAGCTACACTCCCAATCGGCTCTATCACACCACTCCTCCTCTTTATAAAACTTGAAGGAATTCCTGCATAGCCTCTATCAGGTGAAAATTTAACCTGCATGTCCTCAAGAATAGAGATACGAGCCAGACTCGCTGGACTATGACCGTCACGGTGCCGTAAATATGTTGAGTACTTTCTGTTTATTGGACCAGCGGTAAACAGTGTGGGGACACAAAGCAGGTTATCTGCCTGTTTCACAGCTTTTAAAGTGAAGATAAAATAGCTAAAACAAATGACAGGATGAGACAATCAGGCTGTGTGTAAGCATATGTATGTGTGTGTGCAGCTCAGCACTACCAGCTAAAATTGGCCTGTCAGTTTGAGTCCATGGTCTGTTTTTTCCACAAAGCATGGATTAAAAAAAAAGATACTGGAACGCCATCATTTCCAAACTCTCACCTCTGCCTGTGTGCTGCAGGCAGTTACAGATGATCAGTTGACCTGAGGGTCATCCCGGCCTGCTGTGAGCACTCAATTTGACCACACTGGGAAGTGATAAGCTGACACAAAAGCCCCTCTTTTCCTGCAGGTTAGCGACCTCACTGCCAGCGAAGGACACCGTTACTCATCGCTCTGGTCACATGGCTATATGACATTTGACCCTGCTGATTTACAACCAGTTTTCCTTCCTGCATTCGAGTACTGAAACGTGTAGGTTAGCATGGCTGTCATCTGCTCACTTTCATCCTTGTCTATTTACAACGTTATGTCACACACACACACACACACACACACACACACACACACACACACACACACACAGGTGAGCTGCAGATTTTGACAGGTGGCACTGTAACATCTCAGAGCCAAATAATGAAAGTGAGCTGTGGTATTAAAACGTAAATAATGTGTTAAATCAATTTGCCAACTACTGCAGCAGACTAGTTTTAAGAAGCAGACAGCAGTGTGATGAGCGTGCCTCAAGCACAAGCATAAATGAGGAGCTGCATCAGCATCACAGTTCAGCTGAGCGATGACCAACACGTTAGCCATAACCGAGGCCTGAGAGACAAAGGCAGCTGCAGACAGTCACTCTACAGGTTCATCTAAAGAAAGTGGCTCTCAGCTTCATCTTAGCTCGAGCAGAACTAAACAGCAAGTGAGTTTGAGCTTTCAGGGAAGGGCCGAAATGCACCGCTGTAAAAGAAAAAGGTACGCTTGAGTTACAACACAAGAAAAAACAAGAGCCTCAGAGTGAAAATGAAAGCAAAAAAATATTTTTCCTTATTATTTGTTTTTATAAGTGAGATTAAAATCTAACTCATCATCGTTATGTCAAGTTTTTAAATTAGAACATATCTAGTGCTGCTCAAAACAATGGGCAGTGAGAAGAAAACACCTAGTTTTACTTGGTGATTGTAAGACCCCCAGCTCACACTTTTTGGGGGAATTTCCTCCACTGAACTATCAGTAAACAGATCAAACATCCAGGTTACCAATGTTCGTTACTGTTCCTGGATATCACAGAGATCCCGCTGAAGGAATCAGAAGGAATCATACTGATGAAAAAATTTGATTTTGACACTTGAAGGAGGTACAAATGTTTATTCTGAGTATCTCCTGTACCTATGAAATTATGGGGGCTCAGAAATGCTGGAAAAATAATTAAAAGCCTTTTAATTTGGATAGATTTGTCACAGTATTAAAGTTAGAATTATACAAATACACCAAATACACCAAAGTTATTTTTTATAAAAACTGCTGACAATGAGGGGGTCAGGTGGGGGCTGTTATTAATAATCCATCCATTCAATAGAACAAGCTCATTCGTCTGTCTTCGCACCTGTTTACTGTTTCAATGCTAACATGACTATTTACCACTTTTAACAGGCCACTCATTTCACTCTCTCTCACACACACACACACACACACTCTCACACACACACACACACACACACAGCTTTGCTTTTGTGCAAACGTTAGCTGAGCCCCTGCTAGCCTTGCAGCCCTGACAGCTCCCAGCCAAAGCCCGCTCCCCCGCCCCTTCCCCGAGCCCGTGTTCCTCCGCCCCAGCTGACCGTGAACCTCTTTTTCCTTCTTCCCCCCCATAAAACAGCAGGCCGGCCTCGGTCTGAGAGCCAGACAGGGGTGTGTATAGGAATAAAAGCTGCAGCTAGCCCTCCTAGCAACCTTTCAATGAAACGTCAGTCCACAGCCGGGGCGGCACAAAGAAGAGAAAACCTGAGCAGGAGCCGAAACGGAGCAGCTTCATCACCCTTTCTTCTACTCACCATAACCTCCGCAGCTCGTCCTCACAGCCAGCCCGTGTCTCCCCGGGTAAATATCCTCACTTCGGCCTTAAATCTCTCCTGTGTCCGCCTCTCTTTCTCTCACTCTCTCCACCCGGAATGCTGCCTGCAGGACAAGAATGGGATCGTCGTGCGCAGGCGCAGTAGATGCAGGGATGATGTTGGCACTTGGAAGTCTGTCGCATGGCAATGCTGAAAAAAACAAAAATCCCCGACGGTGTGCAACACATAACACAACCTCTGGCGACATCTGGTGGACACACGGTGGCTTCACAAACGCGCATGTGTGTTTGTTTCTTTATTTGCGTAGATTTTCATACTTCAGGATTTTATGTTTGTTTAATTCCTTTAACTCCAATTTCCACTCAAACAAAACTTTTGGTTCTGTAAGAATTGTCTCCTGTAAGAGTAATAAAAACATCTCTTTACCTCTGCAGCAATTATCATGATTAATAATATTATTCAGTTCTCTAAAATATACAAATCTTCAATGAAAAGAAAATATCTACATGTTGATTCTCTTAAACTTGACTTTTAGATTTCTCAGGGTTGTGGGAGGGTTGGATTTGGAGCCTATCCCAGGTAACATAGGGCGAGAGGTGGGGTACACCCTGGACAGGTCACCAGTCTGTCACAGAGATAGCACATAGAGACAGTCACTTTTAATAATTTCTATTATCAATCTCAAATGCTTTGTGATATTATTAATAATTAGACGTATGGAAGTGGACAGTGACGATGGGATCACTGTTGACAAGTTGCTTCTGCTGGGAAGCCATGTCTGTTGCCACTGCAATAGAGGGTGGGTAAATAAAGCTAAGAAATTGTTGATAAGACATTGGAAACTGCTTGTACAGCATTCAGAGACTTGTGAAACCACGTTTTAAGGTGTGAGTGTCTAATAGTAGTCTTGGTAAACTTGTAGTACTCCCAGTTAAAACTTCCCATAGGAGCAGTGACAGTGGGCGCTGCTGCTGTGAGAGGGAAAAGGGGAGCAGCCTCCACTGAGGATGGCCTAAAGTTAAACTGAGGGTTGCAGAACATCATCCTCTGAACTGTTATTTTTACTAAAAACGAATTTCCCTGACACTCCTACGCCAGGGCTGCAGATTGTCACCTCGAGTGGTACATTAAATGTTTTGGGAAAATTTCCTTGTTTGCTGGGATACAACCTGGCACAATGATCTACTTTTGCCCATTTTGAGAAATGGTGTTTGTGATTGATTAGTTATGCCTGTAGAGGTCTTTAGGGGGAGCTCTTGCCACCATACTGAAGATGTTGAAAGGAAAGCTATCCCACCATTTTCTCTCATTTATCCTCTTTTCAGGTATGAAGAGAGAATTTGTACAGCTGTACTATGAACTATTATGTGGGGAACTGTGTTGCTTGTATTTTCTAAACATGCTAACTGAAGTTTGGAAATCTTTTTAAGCTTTCTTTCAGTTTTCAGTGCTAACTGGTGCACCGTACAGTTAGCTAAGCTAAACACTGGCTTGGTGGCTGGCACAGAAATGCATGTCCCCAGAATATATACCACACATACGGGATATACTTTAATCATAGGAAACACATACAGTGTATGTGTGAGATTAACCTTTGCTATATTTCTGTGTCAAACTATCCACTGATATGCTTGTGTTTGTTTTATAACAAGGATTGGTATTAAAAAAGGGACAAATGACTGTAGATGTGTTTTATAAATGTTTATTTCCAGAACATTTGAGGTTCATAATCTATGTTTATGTTTATTGATTTGTTTGTTTAATTTGTTGTCAAGTGTCTTTCAGCAAATCAAAGTTCACAGTGATGGATGTTGGACTGATACGAAGCAGATGCTCACAGTTGGTTTCAAAGGTTTCAGTCGTCAGTTTAAAGGTAAGCTAATGTATTCGATATTACTGTTATTCTGTATTTCTTTACTGGTGTCATGCAGGCTGGGGGTTGGAAAGCGGCCCCAATAGCCCTCGTAACATCTTCTTAGCTAAATGTAGCTAGAGCACAGTTCTCAGCCTGTCCAGAAAGACAACTGTAATTCACAGTACACATAATTTTTTGACTAAATGTTGAATGAGTCATTTCCCACCTGGCAATCCCACTTTAACACTGTCTGGAACTTCTTCTGAGTTTTAAAACAAACTTTCTGGAAAGCACTTTCCTGATTTTACTAGAAATATAATTTCCTTTTAACTGTCTTTCAATAGACTAAAAGAATAAATAATAAGACTAAAGTATAAAAAAAGATTGTTGGCACACAGGAGGACTCTATGAAACCCACACTAGCACCAACCAACCAACTCTGAACACCTTTCACTACCAAATGAAGTACAAAACAAGTAAGTCAAGAAAAATAAATTACAAAGAGTATTAACATTTAAAAATTGCCACAGTGGTTTGCCCTGTGATTGCCCTTCTTTTTCTCTATTTACTGCTGAAGAGACAGCCAGGAGGAGATTATAATGATGCAAAGGTAGGGTAAAACATGCAAAAGAATTAAACTAGTAAGTTTGAATTATGGATAGTAGAAGTGTCTCCATGGCACGAAGTATTTTCAGCATGAGGTAAAATCACTCCTCTGGAGTAGTCCATTACCAAAACCAGACCCTGGTACCAACAGCAGAACGTGGATGGGTGGATCAGTCTATGTCAGGTGGCTGAAACAGACAGATTAATGTAGCTGTAAGTCTTGTATGAAAATTGGAAAAGCAATAAAGCACAGTAGTTGTTTCCTTTAGGCTGTTACATATGCAAAGATGTGGGAATGTCCTTCATCTATGTTTCTGTATCGAAAATGCTGTAAATAGCCTAAAACATCACCTGTTTAACATGATAGATCCTAAAGAGAAAAAACCTTTGCTGTGAATCACAGCCAGTGTAGAGCTGTTAGAAGAAACACAGCAGCAGATATCAGACATTCAGGGGAGCTCGTCACTCCAGCACCTGCAGACAGAGACACACCAACATGTAAGCTATTCTGCACTGCTGTAAAAATTAGGAACACTTTGAAAACACACATTCTTTACTGATGTGACTGGGTACCTACAGAGGGCTGAATTTAAGAACACCACAAAAACCAGCGTGAAAACAAAATTATACGACAGGCTTGATTGGGGTGACTGTAGCTCAGGCGGTAGAGCAGATCGGAAGGTTGGTGGTTCGATTCCTGGCTAGTCTGCATGCCAAATATTGGGCAAGATACTAACCCCAAATTGCTCTCCGATGCATCCATTGGAATATGAATGTTAGGAAGAAAGCACTTAAAAAGTGTGCATGGGTGAATGCACAAGTTGTATAAAGCGCTTTGAGTGCTCAGAAGAGTAGAAAAGTGCTATATTTACATTTTCCTTAAATTTAATTACAGCAACTCAAAATGGCAATTAGTAGCTTGTGTGGGCGTGGCCAACGTGCTTGCTTGACAACATCAGGGCATGCTCATAACTGGATGATGGTTTACTGTATATCCTGGGGGATTGCTTCCCAGATTTGGACCAGGGTATCACTGAGCTCCTGGTCAGTCTGAGGGGCAACCTGGCAGCGTTGAATGGACAAAAAAAAAGTTCAAATATTTTTCTATTGGTTTTAAGTCACGTGAGAGTGGGAGCCTAATATAAGATAAAACCTTGCAATTTCAACAGCACATCTCAGTCTTTCTACATGATAAATGTGTAAATTACAGAGAAAATTCTGGTAGTTCACCTCCTATACTTTCCTGTATTTATAAAACATGGAATTTTTATTAACTTAACTGAAATTTCTACAGAAGACAATGAAAAACAGGAACCTTTCTGTCATATAACTACTTGTTAAGTACTTGAATGGCTGTGAGGGGGTCTTTATCTGCAGGGAAAACTGTAAAACCTATAAAACTACAGTTAAATTTTTTTCCCTTCCTTCACATTTTCCAAAGCCATTCTGCAGGACAGTTTTGGAACCTTTGCCAGGCCAATTCATGCCTGGGGACTAGATCTTTTGACACCTGTGCCTTAGACTGATTCTTATCGCTGCACATACCTCTATACTGGTTTTAAAATGTTCGTGACCTGAGTCAGAACAGAAATAGCCACATCAGCTTTAAAAGCCTCTTTTTCCAGGAATAAACTACAGGAGGTAAAACTGTCACATGAGAGTTTAAGTCAGTATTACAGGACTGAGTAAATGAGTCTCAGTCGGTGGGACTGCTCGTAAATTGAAGATGAAATCTGTCTCAAACTGAATGTGACTTTCTGCTTCAAGCTCTGAGCTGTGGGGAGGGCGTTTGACACGTAATTTGACATTTCCTCTGCACGAGAACAGATCATTGTTGTTCTACTTCAGTCTGAGACCGGAGATGAAGTGAACAGATACAAAAAGAATACAAAATAAATATGACAAAAAGCAACACTGATAATGCAAAACTGCAGAAAATGGTTGATATCCTGAATTTGTGAGTGAATATTGGAGGACCCTTTTGTGGTTTCCAAATTTTAATAATTTAATAATTCAAACTTGTTAAAAATGCGCTTTAGATGCTTTGATTTGCGCTAGTAATTTTTCTGGACTGATTCATACCAGCGTTGTTTTGATTATGAGTTATAATTTTGGGCAAACAGCAACTACAAATGCATTTATTTTATCATGATAAGTATTCTTGCCATGACAGCTACATAGTAGAGCTCAGAAACTTTAAAGGTTACTCAGTGTTTTGAGGTCCTACTGTTTCACATCCTGATGACAGAGATGTTGAAATAACTGCTGTTTTTGTTCTTATTTGTGGCTAACAGCTTTCTGCATATGAGCTCACCATGTCTAGTTTGCAAAAACAAAAGTGGTGATTATGAAACCGCTCAGCTTCATAACAGCTGCAAACTCCCTCCTCTCTTAATAGTTTGTTTGTAATTTGTTTTCAGCACCAAATAGATTAAAATGGGCGTTACACAGGGTGTAACATCAAGGGGACAGGTTTTCTGTGTCTGTGAAGGGGGACACATTTATACGTTTGGGATGCAAAAAATATAGCCTTTTGAATTAAAATTATTATTTTTGATACACCTCAAATACTTTTAAATGAACAGTCATTGTCATGCAAGTTGAAAGATGGCCAAGCTTTAACACTGGAAGAGAATAATGAGCTACAATAAGTGGACTCATAGTTCTGGCTTCAAAGCACCTCCGCTACTTCCACTGGAAGAAAAGTGTTTTGACATTGATGTGATAATTATTCATTCTTTCATTCATCAAATTCTTTTGCATTTAATTATTAAACAGAAAAAGTGATCAGAGTTGGAAAATACAAAATATCTGACCGCTAAAAAAATTGATATATGGTTTTTACTGTCCATTTTATTAAATTCTATAAAATAAAAACCACTACCACAAATATTATGTTGTGCAACCTCGAGTGACTGTACTGGCATGTAGATTACATGTGAAATGAGTGAGATCCCCTCTAGCTCCAGTTTAACTTTTCTCAGTCCACTGGATGGCGCCAAACATACCTTTGCTGAAAGTGTCGGTGGCCCTCTTTGTCGTGTTCAAAGTCGGGTTGTGGATGAGACAGCTCACGGCCTCGTGAGGACCTGCAGGGATTAGTAGAGTGCTGCGGGAGCTGTAAAGGCGGTCGTGATAATTCTGCATCGTTGTAGTTTGGATGTTCCTCGACTCTACTGATTGATGAGAGCTGGTATAGAGGAGGACCCATTGTATCTCAGGGGCAGGAAATCCTCCTTGGGTAGTGCACACTGCAGTCATTGTTTTCATATTAACATCTAGCCTGGGATTCTGATAAGGAACTGAGGAGAGAAGGGGACAGAAGACCATTTCCATCTTTCTAAAATTTTTTGAATAAAGAAAGTGAATATTACTCTAACAGGAGTAGCGATTCTTCATGCCAGATTCTTCAGAATGGCATAACCTCATCAGTCCTTCGACTGGATGAGGTGAATATGTATAATTCCTGAATAGCTTGTGCACTTCAAGCACATCTTGACTGTTTGATTTAAAACCCACTGTGGTTGTGCACAGAGCAAAAATACACAAACTGTGTCTTTGTCCAAAATGATTTGAACCTAGCTGTCACTTGATTACCGATAAATAATCATTACAATCACTAAATGCAAATATTAGCATTGTCACTGTTGGCAGTGCCTGAAAGGAGGAAACTACACATTCTACATTAACCACAATAGCATAAAATCAATGTCATCTCCACTGACTGTAGGTGCTTATTTATATGACAATATAACTTCTCTTTCTTATTTTTGTGAAAAAGACTGAAAACCTTTCTTACCACCGATCTGTAAAGTTACTTGGCAGATCTGTGTGTGTTCCAGGTGGTATTTCTTCATCACGCTGCCGTCCAAGACTGCCGCAAAAGCCCAGAAAGTCCTTTCGTTATCTTCAAGAGTCAGGTTTTTGATTATGATGCTGATATTTCCTCTAATTATGTCCTGAGGGAAGGCTGTGACTCTGTGTTTATAGTAGTCATTTACATGCTCAGCCATCTTTCTTCCTTCATTATAGGAATACAACACAAAATCCCTGTTATCTTGCCAATAAAAACGAACATTACTCCAGTCCGTGATATTTTTATTTTGTATACTACATTCGAGGACTGCTGAGTCGGTGATAGTGGTGTTAACATACACCAGTGTTGCATTACCCACTGAAACTGGAAAAAATAAAATAAAATAGACAACTGTTAATGATTGCTACTTCCTCAAATCCTGTGACAGTCTAATACCAAGTACTCTTATCTTTAAAATGAATTTCTTCTCAGATAAGCCAAACGGTACAGTTCCATCATGTACACAAACACGCACACAGCTTTGAATGAAAATGGTCTTATAAAAAGGTGATAGCTTACCGATCGTGAGACTGAAAAAAAGTACAAATAGGATCAACATTTTTGTGAGCCTTTTGTCAAAGAGCAGCGAGTAAAACACGTGTTAGTGAGCACGGACACTAAAAATGAGGTCATGTGCAATGGAGACTAACAAGATGCCTTCTTTTGACTCGACAGTCTTCATCGGGCCTTTCCCCCCAGAATGACTAGTAATAAAGTCTTCATAATACCGAAGTAAAGCTCGGCTGCGGAGAGCAGCTAATATCTGCATTATCAGTGCCCTGTGACTACATAAAGCCTACGTGCTTTGGTTGCCATTGAAGAGGAAGTGAGAGTTGGGTAACGTGTCAGAGTATTAAAGCAGAATATTAAACCAAGTGTACTCTAAGGAGACTCAATAATCTGAGCCTTTCCGACATCGAGAGCTAGAAAATAAAACAGAAGAGTGAGCTGATATTCTCTGTTCAGCTCTGCACGACAAGCTTCCACTCTCTGTCAGACAAAGACGTTCAGATGACTTCCTTAATATTGAGAACCACCTGCCATTAGATGCAGATATGAAATCAGTTTAATATGATAGAAAAGGAAGAACATGACTCACGTGTGTTTACAGATCCAACGATGATACCTGACAGTTTTTCCATTGCCCGCCTAACATAGAAACAGTGTGTGTGAAAACCAACAGGGGCCGAAAGGTAAGATTCTCAAATGGATATCTCATGGTTAGACAAAATAGAAAAACTGTTGCATCAAAAAAAATCACACAACTTCCTGTTGCTCTATTTGCTCTTTTTTTCTTCATTGATTTTGAAGTTGTTTTGTCTCTCTTACGTTTAGCTCCTTTGATCTTCACTTTGATCATTTTTTGCCTTCTTCTCAGTCTGTTCGCTTGCTCTGTGTTCAGTAATCTTCTTGTTGATCTGATACAGGCAGTTTAATTTACACTGCTTTCTGTGGTAGTATCTTTGGTTTCCATTGTTTTTGTATCTTCAATCACCGTACACACACTGCCCACTTTATTAGGTACACCTTGCTAGGTCCGGTGTGAACCTCATTTTTCATTAAGAATTTAATTCTTCATTAAACAAAATACTGGAAATATTCGTCAAAGATTTCAGTTCATATGATATTATACATGATAGCATCACACAATTGCACCAAATGTGTGCACTGCATCCATGATGTGAATCTTTTGTTCGTTAACTCGCGGTGTTATCTTGTTTGGGGCAGCCATGGAAAGGGATGGACATGATCAGCAACAATACTCAGGGTAGGCGGAGTGTTTAAAGCTCATTTGGTGCTAATGGGCTGAAGGTGTGCCAAGAAAATATTCCCCACCCCATTACTAGTCCACCACTAGCAGGAACCGCTGATAAAGGCAGAATGGGTCTGCGTTTTTATGTTGTCTACATCAAAGTCTGACTTGACCATCTGAATGTTGCAGCACAAATTGAAACTCATCAGACCAGATATTGTTTTTCCAGTCATCTGTTGTTTAGTTTTACTGAACCTGTGTGAACTGTACTCTCAGTTTCCCGTTCTTAGCTGACAGGAGTGTCACCTGGCTTTATCGCCTGCTGCTGTATCCCATCAGCATCAAGATTCTGCATTTGCATTTGGACATACTCTTCTGCATTCCCTTGGTTGTAATCGTGGTTGGTCATTTGAGTTACTGTTGCCACTCATTGAATATTTGCTCTCTTACAACCCAAGAGATGTTTGTGTTGGAAAATGATAGTAGATTGTCAGTTTCTGCCTGGCAACAACCATGACATGTTCATAAAATTAACATAAATCACCTTTTCTCCCCATTCTAATGCTCAGTTTGAACATCAGCAGGTTGTTTTGATCATGTCTATATGACGAAATGGATTTAGCTGCTGGCACTTGATTGGCTTACAACCACGCGTCAGTGTCAGCTTCACGGGATGTTTTTGGTTTGTTGTTTGTGTTTCAGTCAGATATGAACATCTTCATCCTGCACCATCATCATAACTAATCATGATAAAAATCAAAGTGAAATAGTATACTACTGTTATGGAAACTACTAATATTAATATATAGTATGTTATATAATACTATTTTAGGTCATATTAGGGCCTTGGAAGCACATCATTGGCAGGTTAGCAACCTTTATATTTTACCCACAATGCACTTGTACTTCAGTTGTCTTTGTTTTGCAGCCAGAAACCATGGCAGCAAAGCAAAGAAAGTCAGCAGTGTTGCTTTATGATGATGCCAAAATGTAAACTTTATTTCTCAAGCCTGTATTACAAGAACGAATCACCGTCAGCACATATATTCTCCTTTTTGCAACTGTCTGCTGGCTGCAGTTGTTAGTTACCAGAAATATTGGTGAAGCACAGTAGGTTTTTGTGGTCCATGGATCCTTTTTTGTTTTTGTTTTCTGCCACAGATGTATTCTTGCTGACCTTCTGTCTGGGACATAAAGCAGACTCAGTTTGTTGAAGTGAAAGCAGTTCAATTTTTTCCTCTTTGTTTCCTCAGGCATAGTCATCAAAAAGGAAAACTTTGTAACTGATTATAAAATGGCAATGATATCTCAGAAGTAATTAAGAACCAGTCAGACAGCTTGATTTAAGTAGTTTTCTAATAATGTAAGCAGAATGCAGCTAATTTCAGAATTTACTAAACAGCTGTTTTTGTCCTGCTAAGGCTTTACACACCAGAAGCGTTTCATAAAAACGTCACGTAATTCCGAATTTTACGGATCCAAACATGCTGTGTAGCCTAAATACACACTGAATGTGTTTGCAGAAAATTCATCCTCAAATAATACACTATGAAAAAAAGGAGTTGACATCAAGCAATGATGAGCTAGTCCTGATTTTAGTAAACCAAAAAAGGAACAAACAGAAATTCTTTGTTCCTCTCATTCTCAAGAGAAAGGAGCAGCATGCAGAACTTCATGTTGGGATCCAGGAGCTGAAGCTTTATTGCGATTGCTTTTGCGCATATTTCTGGATGTCAGTGGGGCCAGTTGAACTCTTGTTAGCAGAGAAATGAGACCATACTTGAGGAGGCAGAGAAATAATTTCAAGAGCCGATTGTGACACAACAACAATCAAATGTAACACCATGTTCAACACTTTGACTGTGTCACCACCAGACAATGATGTGATTGGTTAGATGTGTTTGCATGCAACCGAAACACTGGAAAAATTTAGCTTAACTTCAAAAAATTAACGTTGCAAATTCCTCCTACGTAATTTCGTGTTGGGTTGCATCAAGAATAGGTGAGTCATAAAATATTTTTAGTGGACGATATATTTGCACAGATTTTATGTTTCTTGTGTGTAGAGGCTTTTACTCAGAAAAACCACCAAACTCTTTTTAAACAGTAAAAAAAATAAAATAAATTGGGGAACTGATTAAAGTTTTGATTGCTGTCCCCCTGATGTGACCCACTGGTTATGTTTTACTTTGAATTGAAGAAGTATTACACAGTTTAGAGAACAGAAACACAAACAATGTCACAACACAACAGTCTATCCAAATGCAGAGCAGTGGGTCTGTTAAATGAAGCATTCTTGTAAAGCTTTTTGTTTTTAATCATTTATGAGCTTCCTTTTCAATTCATGAATGAGCATATAGAGCCACAGCTCCACCTTAGATAGACTGGGTGCTAGGCTAGGTTTTTGTACTTTTCCAGCCCTGGACTACATGATATCTGCCACTGCAAGCTACAGTAAGTAGGTCCTGATTTGTTTGCTATTGAGGGACCAAGTTGCACCACATAGTGGTGCATAATGTGAGCCAAATTGCAGTCTTCTCAGCATAAAATCCTCACGGGACAGGCTTTGTCAGACAATTTAGGCTTTGAAGATAATGAGGCGAAAGGTAGCAGTGGGTACAAAAGCGATGTAACATAACTCAAAAGGAAGTGAAGCTAAATAACAAGCAGAAGACACAAGACTAACGTTTTGTATTCTGTAATGTAGACCTAAATGCTGCAGAGTATTAATGCACTTTGGATTGGGTCCAGATTTACATCACGAAGCTGCAGACGCCCCTCTTGCGCAGTCTGCGGCTCTGCCTTTCAGACAGCGAGGGCTGCGGTTGTTTACGCAGTGTGGGTCTGATTCTTTCTTACAGAAAGCAACATATTCACACATATTCAGAAGTCTGCACGGAGCTATCTATTCTCTTGTCAGGGTCTTCAAGGAATATTTCATCTAATTTTTTCGGCTTCAAACTCCAATCATCAGGTAGGGGGGTGGGGGTGGGGGGTCATTCTGGTCCTGGGTATCCTTTAAAAATATTTTTATTGCATTTATGTTGGTCATTTGAACCACATAGTTTCATTTTTTTTCTCCATAAGAAGTGAGCTTGAGTCTCTTCCTAAAACCTTAATTTTTTCTATCTATAAACCATATATAAAAAATATATAATATTCATCTAATTGGGATACTTTTATTCTTTATACTGTGTTAATCATAAGAGCATTTATTTATTTATTTTTTAATTCAGGTATTTATTGTCTGCTTTTCAGGCTACTGTCAGTGAAACAAAAAAGTCAAAATAAGACATGAGCCCAGAATTGAAGCATGTTTTGATTTATCTGCTTTAATATTTTATTTTGAGTGACCTGTGGAGCAGTATGGAGAAAATCATCTACATTATTAACACATACAGGTATCATTTACAGTATCCTTCAGTCATAACGAGAATGAGAGCCAAAAAATAAAATTAATTAATAAGTAATTAATTAATAAAAGAAAATGTTTTTCTGTTTTTTAACGTTTTTTTCCCTTATGTAGTTGAAACTACATTTGCACATGCTCAAACGCTTCCTTCCTGTTTCGTCATTCTGTACATATCATCCTGCTGCTGACAAAAGGACGTTCCTTTTACTATAAATGGAAATGAGTTGTTTCTCCACGTTGTTTGGTATGTCTGAAAATTTGTTATATGCCTTCAAGACACTGCAAAAATGTATGTGAAGCAAAGTGTGCGTATATGTACTTCTTTTAGCATGGTGACCTTTGTGCTTATGAAATCTGCTCTTTCTATTAATCCAGTTTATAATATCATTATTTACTAATCTCATCAGCTGTCTTGTTAGTTGTTACATTCAGCGATAAAAATGTTGCGTGAGACGTGAAAGTAGTTCGAGTGTCGTGGGAGAACTCTTTTTGTCTGATGACCACGTAAGCCAACAAAATAGTGGCTGTCATTTGTCAGCCTAAAAGTTGAAGTGTTGCCTTGGAAGTGAGATCCTGAACCTAAAGGTTGCTCTATGCATCTAACTGTGTGTGCATGTGGAGGGTTAAACAAACAAAAGGTGACGTGGCCTAGCAGTTAGCTCCATTGTGTGAAGTCTAAGGTATTGTGCAGTTTAGCTCACTGGAGCTGTTTTCCTACTGAGGAAAAGAATAATCTGGTTGAATTAAAGCTTAAAATAAACTGGCTGAAGGGCAGAGCAGGGGAGCTGGAAAACTGCACAGTTGGCAGCTGCGTAGGGTGAGGCTCGGCTGCTCAACCACATCGTGCTCAAACCGTTCATAGAGTGGGTCTACAAGTAGGCCCACTCCGCTACCAGCTGGTTAACCAGCCTGTGATTGCAAAAGCTTCTTTGTGCCTATTACCATTAATGTAGGTCCCATTTAAAGTCTTTGGTGTTGACCTCATCAGGCCATTTTACCAGAGTCCTCACAAAGATATCGCTTTGTATTAGTTCTGGTGGATCACGTAATCTGATATCCCAAAGCAGTGAGGCTGCGCACCGTTTCTGCAAAGAGTGTTGCACAAGCACTGTTTCAGGTCATCTCCCATTCTTCATCCTGAAAGATATACTGACTGACCAGGGTACATGGTTCATGTCTTGCACACTAAAGGAGCTGTATGAATTATTGGGCATTAAATCTGTTTGGACCAGTGTCTACCACCCTCAGACTGACGGGTGGTAGACACTGAACAAGACTTAAAAGCCCATGATTCATAAGTTCATTCACGAGGATAAATGCAGTTGGGATCGCCACAAAGTGCTTGTATTATTCCTTTCTTTTAGCTCAAAGTTACTTGCCAATTGGTAAGGTCTCGTTGTGGTCACGTGGTGGCGTTGACTATAACATCATACTGTCAGACAGGGGAGGAGCCACACAAATATATCACCTCAAACTCTTAAAAGCATGAAGAGAGGCTGAAACCGCTTCTCTGGTGAGCCTGGTGACGGTGAGAGATGAGTTGGGGCTGGCGGTGCATAATTCCACGATTCCTGCCTCCCGCCATTGTGGCAACCATCTCACACAGCCCCAGAGAGCAGAGTAGCAGAGTAGCGGTGTTTTGCAGATTTGTTCTCCACCCTGCTCAGCTATACTAGTCTCATGACCAAATAATGACTCCGATATCTGCGAGTCTAATGATAGTCTTATGAGCACTATTTTGATACACACCCTATTGGTTACTTGAGCATAAGTGGCAAATTGTTCAGAGGGAATTGGCTGAAATGCTAAAAATGGGAGTAAAGCAACGTGGTGTAGCCCCATAGTTCTTTTTGTGAAGAAAGATGGCTCTATATAGTTTTGTGTTGACTACCCTAAGGTGAATCAAGTTTCACAGTTTGACACTTATTCCATGCCCTGGGTCAACAAGCTCCCTGACCAGTTAGGCACTGCTCACTTTTTCTTGATGTTGGATTTGACCAAGGGCTACTGGCAGATTACCTTGCCCTGCCTGAGTCCAAGAAAAAAACGGCTTCGTGCAGGCTCTCTGTGGGGAACCCTTGCTCTACACGCCGAACTTATCTCCTATTTTGAACTCTTTACACAGGCTCCTGATGTATTTTAAGACTAATTTTAAAATACTTGTACTTACATACCGAGCAGTAAACGGAGCAGCTCCAGTCCACCAGTCCCATTTGGACGTAACTTTTATTGCATTATAACTTGCATTTTTTTTCCATTTTACCAGCTGATTAGTTAGGCTTAAACAAGTCTTCAGGTTATGACGTCTGAATTGAGTGAATCTAAATGGACTTCTTTTAGTCTCAATTTACTGTATAAAGTACAATAAAGTACTACGTTCCACAGGTCAGAAAGTATTTTACGAGATTCAGAGCTCTACTGTCTGGAATGTTGATTTTTTTTTTTTAGCTGGATGTTTCTCTGTTTCCCTGCAGGTCTGCTGTTCTGGTTCTTGGTGCCAGTTTCATCAGAAACAAATGGAACCAGAGGGGCACCGCTGGTCCTTCAGTGCCATCACAACCTCAGCGAAAAGTTCATTCCTGAGCAAACCTCCATATACTGGCAAAGTAATTCCAGCGTTCTTCATGTTTTTTCAAAAGGACAAGAGGAATTTCAACACCAAAGTGAGTCATTTAAAAACAGGACTGCAATTTTCCGCGATCAACTGGCCTCTGGCAACTTCTCCCTTGTCATCAATCCGCTGATGCTGAAAGACGATCAGCTCAGCATCGAAGTTGCTTACATACCAGAAAGCAGGACGCTCTGCCAAACCACTGTTCATGTAGCAGGTATAGTTCACCTTAATTAACATGGATGCAAATATCAGTATTTGTTAAATATGTGAAATGCAAACTGTATGTCCAATGGGATTGAAAAGATGAAACCCTTCAGGCAGTGTTCAGGCACATATCTTAAGAATAATAAAACAGGTGGCTCGTGATGATCATTTCGAGTGCTGCATGTATTTATTCACTGAGTTGAGTGATGATTGAGGGATAAAACTAGTGACTAGTTTATGTTTCTGTTAATTTGTACAATAATGATCTCTGATTTCTTAAAATTTGTATGAAAATTCTAACATTTATACATGTGAAAAATCTCTGACTCATTTCCAGCTCGTTTTGAGATGCCAAATATCGTGGTCAACACCATAGATATGATGGCTATGTGTGCAACAAAGGGGGGCTTTCCTGAACCAGAGCTATCATGGATCTCCGTGGACCACGAGGGACATGAACGTACACTTGAACCACCTGATGTCCAGACCCTTGAGATCTACAAGGAAGATGACGGCACCTACAGAGTTACCAGTACTGCCAACATCAGAGGATCACAGAAAGTTACATGCAGCGTTTACAACCCGACTTCAAAGGAGACATTGAGTGTAATTAAAGACGTAATTACAGGTACTCCAAGGATCATTTTTGCTTTTCAGCCTGAAGTTGACTTTTCAAATAAATTCAGAATCCATATCCATAGGTTTGAAATAGATATGTAAACCACTGTGTTTATTAATCAACCAACAATGACAAAAACATAGAATAACTTGAGGTTCAACTCCTGAGGCAGAACTCTAAGTCTTAAGTCACAGTTCATCTTAAACACAGACAAAATTTTTTTTATATATATATATATGTAATTTTGCTGTAAATTTAAAAACGCACTGTGAAATTTGAAACTGCCGGAATTACATACATCTCATCCCAGAATAACATCAATTGTAGGTCTGTTTCCCTGTAATTTCATGTCATCGAGCCAAAAGCCTTGACAAGCCTAGAAAATAACCTAATTCTCCATTGCAGACTTAGTAGTAGCAAATCTTTTATAGATACAATTTGAGTGAATGAATTCATAATTATATTAACACTAATCTCTTCAAACCAGAGAAGTTCTTAAAGTAACTTTTTGAAAAAAGTGTGGCCCCCAACAATCCTGATTTGAATTACAGTAGCTTACAACGTTACCATTTTCATGCAAGAGAATTCAAGATGCACATCAATTCCCATCAGTTCGTGGAAGCTTTCTGTGTTTCATTCATACAGATTCCCATGAGCAGTTAACCTAAAGTTCAGTTTACAGTGCTGTTTAGATTTAGATGATTTTTGCACTAAGGATTAATTTTGTGTTGAAGTTGTAGGTAAAGTAACACAACTGACTGTTGTAACTGTGTCTTGTTCCTGATTTACAGATGAAGGCTGGAGTCTGCCTTTGGGAGCTGTTCTTGGAGTACCGGTAATACTTGCAGTAATACTCGGAGCAGGAGCCACCATTGGCTGCCGAAAAAGGAAAAGTCTGTAAACTTTTGAATTTTGCTCCTTTTCCTTTGTAATTATTAATTATGTAATTAAATGTTTAAAAATTGGTTACATCAAATACTGTGCGGAGGATCAGTAACAGCAGTACTGAGTAAAATGTATGACTATATACATCATTAGAAAATGACAAAGTGACTCTGACCCCTTAGCAAACTCTGGTTGCTGGGTAAAAATGTGTTATTACTTGATTGGCTGGTGAGTGGTTGCTTGCATTTGCTATGAAAAAGAGAGTGCTACACCATAAGGTTGCTGCACTTGCCTGTAGTTTGCAAGAAAGACGTCCACTTATCTGCAAATACTACCCAAATACTCTTCGAGTTTTAATGAAAGTGTGTAAAGTTTGACACAAACTGGAAACTGACAGTTTCCATTTAAAGTAAAAAAAAAAACACATTTGCAATGCTTGCAGACAAGTTGGTGTTTTTCATGCAATCACAAGGATTTTTTTTGTGTGGCACCGTATATTTCTTTGCAACCGATTTGACACTAGTGACTGGCAGCAACAACTGGACAACTGAGTACATACTTATTTTGCTTTTTTCTTCCTTTAATTTGCAACCTCTTTGAGAGAATGCACCAGGTTTAAACCGCTGTGGAAAATTAGTATCAATCTCTTAATTTTAGCTCACCTTCTGAAGCAGTTACCAATGAAAGCTACAACACAAAGTTTGTGAGAGAGAAACATTTCAGGGTGTAAAATAACCTCAAACTATAACTTCATGAAGACCACTTTTCCTCCATTGGAACTCAGAACACGAAATTAAGCACAGGCACAGATGTCTCTGCTCTGTGTCAACCCTTTACGCTGTTGAGATCCATTGGAAAAAGATCCACACATATGCCGTACACAGCTGCTCTGTTGAAAGTTAATACATGAATCATTTTTCTTGCAGGGAGAGACTGTTCAGGACAAAGCCTACAACAACTGAGCGCCAATGAACCTGCACCATTGGAAGACAGCACTCCTGATCCTGCAGCTGTTGTAGTTGATGATGTAGCTAAATAAAGGGAAAACACTAAATAGAAGACATAGCAGGAACTCATGTTTCTGAAATAAAGACCTCATCTATGGAGGACCACAGAGCCACACACACCGAAAAATAGTGTTTTTATTTTAAATTCAATTATTAAATAATAAATAACTTTATTAACGTTTGAATAAGTAAAATAATAAATAAATGAATCTGTAAATGAATTTACAAATGCATAACTTATTGTACAATTCATTATTTAAGCAAAAAAAGTCCTTACTTGATGCACGTGGCTCTTGTGGTGCTCCATATGTTAGCATGTTACCTTCAACAGGTGGTTATAGGCTGAGTCTACAGGCGCACACTCGGAGGATCAACTCTACATTTCACTGCAGGGCCCCTTCATTTTTCACAATCGGTGTTGGGCAGAATGTAAATACATAGGCTGAAATCTAAATTTTACATTTGATGTTTACATCTAAATTATTTAGCTGTAACAAAACAGGAATAAAATGTAGGACACGGAAACTAAAGTTCAAAATTTGAAGAAATAGATCACACGCAGTTTACTGATGGATCGAGATATTAGTTACCCAGATAGCATCAGACCCCAAGGTGGATCTGCCCTGAATACAGTGTATTAAATAAAAACTTTTTGTAGCAGTTTATGAACATTACGTTGTTTTAATGAGTATTTAGTAAAATTTAAATGTCTCAATTAAATGTTACAAACCTTTTTTCTTTAAAGAGAGGGTTTTGTTATTAGGTGGTGTTATTAGATTTGCTTTAATGTCTCCCAGTTTAATCATTTCTAATATGAGCCAATCCCACTTTTACTCACAGATGATGGATCTCTTACAGCCACAACAGAGACGTTTCAGAGCAATTTCACGTATAACTCAAAGAATGCAGGGCAGCTTTCCAAGTCTTTAAAGAATGTAAAGCTTTATCAGTAAAGGCAAATGTCTTGTTTTTTATAGATTTTAAATATTTCAGCATAGTTTTGGGAGGATGTACACAGATGATGATTCAAAATATTGTGACGTTATAAACCGATCTGGGTAGGATGAGCTGGAAAATTAGGAGAGGAAATAAAATATTCAGTTAGTTGAACTGGTTGAAATTCAGTTTCTACTGTTAGAGTATTTCCTGCAAGAAATGTAATAACAAGCGATCAAAGCTGTCATCATGATATCAAGGGCCAGATTAGGCCGAGATGTCAGTGTTACGATGCATTTGCAAAATTGCACCCATGCAAGTGGAAAATTATTTTGTTGATCTATTAACGGTGCACTGATTTCCATGCAAAGATGCAGTCAGTACATCTTAATGATTACCTGACTTGAGTGGATTAGCGGCTCAGAAATAAGCACACAGTGAGAGACTGTGAGGGAGCGAGTGACAGCTCTGCAACATCACAGATCACTTTTGCGCGGTTTCTTTTTTTTTGCAGATTGGTTGTATGCAAGTCTCTTTCAAAGAGGCTGCTATTAGTGGGACTCAGAAAGATCAAGTGCATTAGATTGACAGTCTTACCCCATATACGCAACATTCACCAGAGAGCAGGTGAAGGAGAGAGATGGCATCAAAGTTAAAGAGAGGCGGAAATCACACCTCAAACGTGCACGGCCATGTGTGTGCGTGATGGATGCGCTAATTAAACACATAGCAATACACTTCTGGTTCTGTGCAAGCAGACTCCAATCCAGACACAGTTTATAGTAGAGCCTATGATACCTTTTGGTGGATCAGGTTGTCGGTCAACCCACTGAGACTGATTTGAGTATGTCAGCAACAATATGTCAGCAATCAGGCTTAATGTGCAGTGTAATCAGATTGCAATCAGAGTACCTGTAGCTGCTTTAAAAACATAATTTAAAAATATATTTAGTTGAGTTTTAAAAGCTTAAAGTCATTTTAGTCTCATCTTCACTCATACTATATATTCACATTAAGAAACAGAAGCAGCATTAAGCCACAGCTGCACAAACCACCCAAAAGAAGAAAAAAACACAGCTTAATGTTAAATAAAAGAGATCAAACATCCAGCTATGAGTGAATAAACACTGATGAGGAGTCCGGTACCACCTGTAGCAAAGCCTCCACCACCATCAGCACAATCAGGTTTAGAGTACACTGCAGACGGGCCTTGATCGATACTGGGATGCTCAGTTTTGGTTTCATTATTCTAAAAATGCAACGCTTTGAATCTTTAGATATCATTAAATTCTGGTACCGGTGTGTTTTTCTGTAGTTTTGGGGCCTGATTTGATTATTTTACCATTCTAGTGTTAAACGTTTTTGAATTTTTTCTGCAAGAGTTATTAATTGAGGCAAAAATGGGAGCAAAATCCACAAATTACTGCTTACAGGTGTGGTTAGTTCGGTCGTTGGTTTTCTAAACACAGATGCAGTCAATTCAATATGACATACTCAGTCTGCCAAAGGCAATGCAATTTCAAGCACAGTCAAAAAATAAGAGATGGTAATTTAAGATAATTTTCTAGCAGGACAGGTGCAGCATTGTAATTGTAAACAGAAAATGAAGTAAATTAATATGGAACGTGTACGTTAAATATAGGCCTACAGTGGCAGTCTAGCAGAGAATCGTTATAATGGAGACAAACTTCAGTAACTGACAGAGTCCAATGTAGGACTGTAAGAAGTAACAATTGGACATCATGTTTTGATGATGGGAAATGTGTGATTGAAAAAAAATGGGTTTGCTGATTTCGTGGGGGAATGTTTGGCGTGTGGTGGATCCGAAATTTGATTCCTTTCAGGGTTGTACATTTTTATTCCTTATATTTTTTTGATTGACTTAATTGTTGTTTTGAATGTGTTGCTGTATGGAATATGCAGTAGGAATGAAAAGGGAGTGGTGAGAATTGTGCCTGGGTTGACTGTGTTTAGATCCATTGGTACTGTCTTTGGTTGGGACTACAGTACACAGGAATGTAGTCATTCATCTCCCCTCACTATTTCCCCTGTTTAAGGTAACTGCCATGCACAAAACTCTACAAACTTTTTTACTCCATCATCATTGTTCATTGTAAGGGAAGAGGTGAATGGTGGACTGTTTCAGCTGTGTAAGCTAGCTTTTAATACTGTCCCACCATGTTGAATGATGTTTTTTCTGCCACTGTCTGTATATTTAAGTTAACTACTGAAAGACATACAGAACTAAAGTATTATTTAATTACTGTGGAAAGGCAGTGTCAGCTAAAATATGTGAGTTAATTAGATGTATTTATCTTATGTCACAGTTCATGTTGTGCACTGCCTGAAGTCTTCTCATCAGCTAATGCAGAAAATAACAGTAACTTTGTTTGGAAACTGTGGTTCTGAGACAGAGTTTATCATTGCAGAGAGAATACGGGTTTGGTTGTGTCTATTGTAGCTGACACTCTATACAGAAGTCGAGAGCTGCATGTAAGTATCTTCATTCATCTCCAGTTTGAGGGCACAACATATGCACGTATGCGTTTTTGTGATCTATATCTCACACACTGTCAGAGCTGTGAACTCCATTACATGGACTGAGCAATTCTTGCAACTGAAGCCACGGTATGTTGAAGACATTTTGTTGATTCATTTTGAGTTTTGTTGATTTTTAGTAAATACTGACATTACTTTTTTGTGTTTTTTTTTGTTTCACAAAGTTTGCAATGTGTTAGTACATCTAGCCCATACTGTCACTTATTCTAGCTCTGATTTAAACCTCTCTCTGAGTAAGCAGAGGGCTGCAGTGCCTTGTGGTGACTATTGTTGTGATTTGGCAATGAATAAATAAATTGATATTGAAATCAGTGTTAATGACACATCGCTCTCTCTCTCTCCCTCAGCGACTGTAGTGCGTTTGTGCAGCTTCCTGTATGAACACTCATGATACAATTGCACAAACTTGCCTGGAAGTTCAGGTGTTTAGTGGTGGTTCTTGGAAAGGGCAAATTCTGCTTCTGTGTTTTTTTTTTTCTTCTAAAAGCTGAGCAGGTAAATCACTTCAGCTTCAACCATCATCTGCACACACAGTGGGCACAGTGTCAGACACTCAGAAAAAAACCCCCTAAATATGTGACTTTAAATTTATATGCTGCCATGCTTCCTGTGCATTTGAAGAAGCTAAGAGTGCAAACTAAACAAAACCAGTGACACACAAAGACAACTCACACACATTCATACAAGCACTTTATATGTAACATGCACACTCTGATGGACATACTGGAAGCTTTACATATCTCAGCTGGCTTGAGAACATACTGGTGTTCCCCAAGGAGAGGTGGAGGGAGAGGGAGGGCTGGGTGCCTCTGCTTAGACTCGTGCCTCCACCACCCAGATTGAGATAAATGACATTCCATGGATGGATTGATGCACAGCTTTTTTCCTGGTTGTCCAAACTAGGAGCCCCCTTCACAGTCTTTGGTTCACTGGTATGATTTAAAACAGACACTGACTTTGGTGACACCTCGTGGTAGACTAAAACATGTCATACAGCACATGTTCACAACATCCATTCTTTCACTTTCACATTCCACGTGAGATTGTTAAAAAAACACCCTTGGTTTATGCCTGGTTTGTGGCTGTGGCGGTATTTTGTTTTCCCAGAACTGCATGAACCCAAGGTACTTTGCTGCAGACACATCAAGTGCTGTAAAACATGGTGTGAAACAGACTAAAACTAGTCTTCGTAGAACAAATTTCTAATGTTTTAGGTATGCACATGTCTGTTCTGTAATAGGTAATAGAGAAATAATTATGTGACAAAGAGATCCAAGTCCAGTTAGTTTTTCTTAGTCTTTATTTTTTGTCTTACCTTTGCTAAATAAAAATGATCTTTTAAACATGTAATACATGTAACAGAATCAAACAGAGGAACAGAATGTTTAAGGGCAACGTTTTAGAACTTCTGTGTTGAAGACTAGTTTCACAGAAGCAAAACTGTTCAGCTTCAAAGGTTTTCACTTTTATTGCGAAGCCACGAATGCAATGACTGTGAACTATGGTGTGATCAGACCCCAGCCTCATGCTCCATTGGCTTAAACATTAAGTAATG